GGTTCTGAATTCTAACCTGAGCCCTGTGTGGCCAGCAGAATCCTGAGTGGTCCGACCCTTATATGACCCCTTCCCTTGAGTGCGGCTAAGACCTGTGAATATAAGCTGTCACTCCCACGATGTTATGTTAATATAAAAAGGAGATTTTACAGGTGCAATTAAGGTCTGTAATTAGTTGCGTTGATCAAAGGAGATATTCCCCTTGGTGGGCCTGATCTTACCTGTAGCAGGGACACCAGAATTTTCTTTAGGGTTCCACTTGTATCAGCTTTGACATCTGATTCAAGGCTCCTGTCAAACACTTTCGAAGAAGAAAAAGGGAGGAGAGAAAGCAGATGATTTCATTTCCCAGAAGTATTTTGAAAGGAACATTCTTTTTTTTTTTTTTTAATTTTTTTTTTCAACGTTTATTTATTTTTGGGACAGAGAGAGACAGAGCATGAACGGGGGAGGGGCAGAGAGAGAGGGAGACACAGAATCGGAAAGCAGGCTCCAGGCTCCGAGCCATCAGCCCAGAGCCCGACGCGGGGCTCGAACTCACGGACCGCGATATCGTGACCTGGCTGAGGTCGGACGCTTAACCGACTGCGCCACCCAGGCGCCCCGAAAGGAACATTCTTTATCCAAAGTCAGAACAAAAGGTCACTTACACCTTTGGTAGGCTTCTTTAATGGCCACGATCTCCTAGGAAGGGTAATAAAACAAAAATCAATACTCCGAGGTGGGGTTGATCAGTAGGAGACACAGAGATACACAAGGAAATGGCCAGAACCTGTCTCCAGGCACAGGATGCCTCCGTGACTTCCTCCAAAGAGAGCCATCCTATGGCTCAGGGCCTAGGCCTGGGGCAGGTCCCTGGAGGTGTGAAGAAGCCCCTGGGTGCAAACATCTCAAACCACACACCAAACACATGCATACATTCTCCTTAGTTAAAAGCAAAACTACCCCAGCTCAGCTAATGTCTTTGCTGCCTCCTCACTCCGTCTCACGCTCCCATCTCTACTCAGGTGGCTAGTGTCACACAGTGGGTATCTTCCCAAGCATTTGTCCTTGCATTTGTATACAGATAGGTGTGCTACTGAAAACATATAGAATTGTTTTGTGTATGTGTTTCCAAAGTGGAATACTGTATGTGTTGTTCTTGGACTTATTTTTTCACTCAGTAATGTGTCTTGGGGATCCAGCTACGCTTATCCGTAGTCACCTAGTGTTTTTTAGGTGGATACAAAACGTCCCAGCCTACAGCAAGCCACGGTTTATTTAGTGAGCCTCGGATGGATGTACATTCAGGTTGCTTCCAATTTTTTCCCTACTGGACACAAGGCTTCATGCAGTAATCCATGTGCTGCGTGCAGGGCTGCAAGTTTCTCTCTGGGGTGTGTACTGGGAAGATGTGCTTTGTGTTTCAATGACTCAGGCTAAGTGGCCCCGTCAGGAGCTGCCTCAGTTTACATTTAGGCCAGCAGTGTCTAGGAGCAGGTGTTCCCCAGATGTTCACTGGCAAACTGTTTAAGAGTTAGCAGCAGGCCAGGGAAAAGGCAGTGGGGACAGTGGGACGGGGGGAGCCTGGGGGGCCGGAGGATGTAGGAGTTGGTGGGAGCTGATCATTTGTGTCCATGAAGCTCTTTCTTTTCTTCTCCTTCTAACCCACTTCCAGGATGTGCCTGAACCCAAGACCTGCTCTCTCCCTACTTTTCTTTTTATTGTCAGATCGATTTGATTGTGGGGGAGAAAAAGAGCTTGTTTGTTGTTTGAGAGCAGGGCTTGAAAGAAACTAGGCTGAGGGGGAACCACATGTGGTCAAGTGAGATTAGAAAAATAATGATCAGAACCTTCTTGCCAAGGCAGCCTGCCGACTACCCTAATATTGGACGCCTCCTGGCTGGGACTGTGGAGCCTCTGGAAGGTGGGGGACCTCGACCGGGAACACCGTATAACTGCAGGACCGGACTGATACCATCCTCCTTCGCTGACCCTTCCTGAACAAAAACTCCTTGAAATGGAGGGTTTTTATTATCTTGTGGAAAGAAAAGAAGTCCAGGGATGCTGAGGAAAGGGGTTCAGGGGTTTGGAGAAATGTGCTGGACCCCACAGACTGAGCAGAAGGAACCAACCCAAGGTCATCTACATGCAAGGCTTTTAAAGTATTGTTTTAGCATCAGAGATCTGTTGAAGTTTTTCCTTGCTGTTGGCTCCAAACACTGCTTCTGTTTCCTACCTGGAGGCCTCAAGGATGTTGGGGACTTTCTGGCTTTTTCCTTGCTGGACTTCCCCCATTCTACATGATGAGTGGTTGCAGCAGAGAGTTGGGTCTCCAAATAATGATTTGTGGACCCTCTCTACTCGTGACGAATTCCTTGGCCCTCATGGCTTCTGGAACCAAAGATGAAGGAGCTTCGACTAAAGCCTTAACAAAGGCTCTTTTCAGCTCCTGAAATGGCAGCATGTGCCCAGGGACAGGGGGAGAGGTCTGCTGATAGAAGTAGATGGAAACCTCCAGGAAGGTGCTGGCAGCCACGAGAGGTGTTCACGGGGATCCCCTCTGCACCGACTGCTTCCCTGCCTCTTTATGGTCCTTTTTGTACTCTATGCTAGATGACAGCCATGGACAAGGCAGCTGCACAAACACGCTTAGCCCATTTATTGCATTATTTGTGCCGAAGACCTGCAAAGTCAGGCTGGGTGGAGGAAAGCAGAATCTTGCCTCCTGCATATAAAACTATGCATTCCTTTCAGAAATACAAAATCTGCGTTGACACAGCTGTTCTGGAAGGATCTATTCTGTCAAGCCAGAGGCGGAAACACGAAGACTGACAGCTGGAAGATTGGAAGAGGGATCTCTCCTGCACGTGCCAAACAGACATGTTTCTGTCCAGACACTTGGACAATGGAATGTGAGGTGCAGTTTTCCTTCTGGTGCTGCAACCCTCTCTGCTGGGCATCTGGATGCTCCTTCAGGGGCTGGGGCTGAGGGCTTGGCTGGCACTCACCTTATTGGTTCTTGTGCACAGGACCTCGATGATCACTGCCTCATCTGTGCCCAGACCCTTCATGGCCTTTTGCAGCTGGCGGGCATCATACTCGCTGGGGCGGTCCAGGAGGGCCAAGGCTGTCTTCTCAAAGCTTCCACTCAGTTCGCTCTTGAACACCTCCTCCAGGTCCTGGAGGAAGATAGCGGGAGCCCTGACTGGGGAATGGCCCAAAGCAGAGGACAAGCTTCCCGCTGCATGGCCTCAGGGTCAACAGGAAGATTGCCAAGGACACATGGGGAAGGGGAGTGAGCTGGGCAGAGCTCTAGTGACATGAGTGACCTGCTGTGGAGGACAGTCGTCACTGTGACTTCCTCTGGGACTGGCAGAGAGGCAGAGAAGATCCCTTGCTCAGGGTTGGAAACCCCAAAGATGAATCACAATAACAAACAGCATTTGCTGGATAGTTTAGGGTTCAGAGAGCCTTCTCGCTGAACTCCAGAATAGCCCTGGCAGGAGAGGGGAGAGGTATTGGCATCATTTCTATTTACTGACCTCAAAAAAATGAAGGACTCCCCCCCCAAACACTTGCGCGACTAGAAAGGCCTGTAACATGAGTTTGTTGTCTCTGGAGGATCAGATCATTTGTCATCCAAATTTAAATGGTTCTTGTTTTGTTTTAGAGAGAGAGTGAGTGGAGGAGAGGGCAGAAGGAGAATCTCAAGCAGGCTCCACGCTCAGCATGGAGCCCAACGTAGGGCTTGATCCCACACCCTGGGATCATGACCTGAGCCAAAATCAAGAGTGAGACGCTCAACTGACTGAGCCACCCAGGCCCCCCTGAGGTGGTTTTGAGAGTGAATGGGGGAAATAATAAACTAGCAGTAATTACAGCGGCATAACACGAATAAACGAGGGCCACCCTGGGCAAACCAGATGTGTAGTCACTTCGGTTAACTTGTTAAATCTGGACAGGGACACACGTGGGAAAGCACTCAGGTAGGGAGAAGAAATGAAATACATTAAGGAAGAAATGAAGTATATGAAATGCCCACTGGCGTCTGTTTTTAGCAAGTGTCCATCTTCAAGGATGTTTTTTGGGAGGTGCGGTCTTATAGGTGAACTGCCTGCTCCTACCTGTGTATCTCTGACATGATGGGTTAGTGACAAAAGGGACAAAAATTGGTGTTCAGTCTAACTAGTGTCGCCAATGTCCCAACTTCAGTGAAGGACCTTGAAGAGGGAACCTCGTGTCCAGATGTGGGTCAGACTGGGGACTCATGGAGCAGTTAGCAGCTTAGGAACTCAAATTACATCACGGAGTAGGTGTGGCCACTCAGCAGTGTGGCATGATGGGTAATGACATGATCACAGCAGCTGTGTGACCTTGGAAATGTACTTTAACCAATTGTCAGTTTCCTTCTCTGAACAATGGGGGTCTGATGGACTCACCTCTTTTTTTTTTAATGTTTATTTTTTGAGAGAGAGAGAGAGAAAGACAGAGCACGAGCAGGGGAGGGGCAGAGAGGGACGGAGACACAGAATCCAAAGCAGGCTCCAGGCTCTGAGCTGTCAGCACAGAGCCCAACTCTGGGCTTCAACTGACAAACCTTGAGATCATGACCTGAGGGGAAGTCCAACGCTCAACCGACTGAGCCACCCAGGCACCCCAATAGACTCAACTCAGGGTTGTTGGGAGAATTAACTGAGACAATCCATGTAAAGCCCAAGCCTGGAACACTTTAAATGTTCAGTAAGTGGGTATTACTATTATTCCACCCTGAAAGGAACTTTCTAAGAGAAGGCTAATCAACTGTTTCTTTTATGAACCTCTGAGCTCTGAGCCTGGGAAAAAAACCCGGAAGATTTTGCCTAATGAGTGGGGTTTGCAGTCTTATGTGGGGGCCGTGGTATCACTGCCTCTGTCTTCAGGCAGCTGCTCCATCTAACACTGCATCCTCTAAAGGCAGGCCTTTGGTCAGTACTCTACAGTGTGGACCCATCCAAAGACTGGAAATGTTTTTTTTTCAGGTCAGGTGGGCATTGCGTAGAACTTCAGAGAAGAGAAACGCCAGCTGCCTACTCTTACAAGCCACAAGCATGAAAACAGATCCTTGTGTGTTTACATTCTGTTTGGACACAGAAGCCGGCTCAGGATATCTCAGCTCTAATCCCGGTTTTCCGGCTCACCAGCGGTGTCACCTTGGGATTCGAGTTCTCTTTGGAGCTCGGTTGCCATGGGGACTTTGATTTGTCTGTTTCTAACATCTTTGAGCTTCAGATGTGATTCTAGACCACCTCCTTGGCAGTCTCAACTGTCTGAAACAGCCACGAACTGGAAAGTAAGCAAAGATTGGCACGTGTTGGTATTGCAAAGTTTGGTGCTAGAGCATGCCTACTTTATCTTTAGCAGAGCGCCTAAGTCCTCACCTCGAACTCATTTACTCTGCTTTACACTCAAGTTTAAGAAGCCTGTATCTGACTTTCCATGTCAGTAGGGTGGGGGTACACATAGCACTTGAGAGGCTGCTACAGTTAGGCGTGCCGGCAAGCATAAAAGTTCAACGTCATTCAATTCAATTCCATGCAGCTGAGCTGAAGATTCACGGACTTTCATCAATGTCATCAAGGAATGACACTGACAAGCCTGATTCTGAAGAGAGAAGCAGAAAAACTGTAAAAGTGCAGCCATGTGGGCCACTTAGTGTAGAAATAAATAGCTCCTCTCGTGGCAATGAGTTCTTCAGGAGTGGACATTGGCCCTGGAGTCAGAAGACTGGGATGGGAGTGTCAGTTCTTTTTCTTACTAAGTGTGTGTGATTTTGCTTGAGTCATGGAAACAGAGGAGCTCCAGGTTTCTTCTCTATAAAATGGAAACAATCGTACCTAGGATAGCTTCCCTTTACTGATATGTGCTGCCGTTAGCCTGTTCGATTCTCTCAGCAACCTGAGAATTACATTTCATTCTGTATGTGAGGACACCAAGGCCTAAAGAGATTATTGTCTGCCCAACGTCAAATAAGTAAGAAAACCCATCTCTATATCTATTTATACATGGAGGGATTGAAACTGTAAAGGTTTTATAAACATGTATTAGAATACAGCATGATAATTAATATTCATTTTGCACGCTGATAATTCTAATGACAGTAAAAAGTGGTTAAATTGTAGGGGCACCTGGGTGGCTCAGTCGGTTAAGCATCCGACTCTTGATTTCAGCTCAGGTCATGATCTCACGGTTCATGAGTTCAAGCCTCCCATCAGGCTCTGTGCTGACAGTGCGGAGCCTGCTTGGGATCTCTCTCTCCCTCTCTTTCTGCCCCTCCCCTGCTCTCTCTCCCTCTCTCTGTGTCTCAAAAAACAAACAAACAAAAAAAAAAACACAAACCTAAAAAAAAAAGAAAAGGTTAAATTGTGTTCATCTTATATTAATAAAGAAAATAGAAAGCCTACTGCATACTTAAAAAAAATCGATACATAACAACATCAACAACAACAAAACAAATGAAAGAAAAGACACATGAAGAAAGAAAAAAGTGGTCATGCTTAACGAAATGGAGGTTTTTTTCAGTGTTCTATAACAATCACTTATGAAGAACATATCATTCTTGAAGACAGATGGATAAATGAAGAATTCTTATATAAAGACCCACCTGTGAAAACTGATTTTCAAGTTATTGGCCTATCTGTAAGTTAGTATGTAGAATTATCAATGGGAAAATGACAGAGGGATTACTAGGAAAAGGAAGTCAGTTTTCAAAAGGAGTTAAAGAATATTGATTATATAGGCTATGAAGTTAACAAGGCAATTTCAGTTTTTCTGAAATCAATTAAAATTGTAAAGAGTGGTTTACTTTTGTTTGCTCTTGAGCTAACTGATTAAAGCTTTAAAGATATTCTCTGCTGCCTTGGGAAGATAGAGAAAGCAGAGACCTCCAAGGCCAAGGCTGTGTGCCCGTTTTCAGGGACGCTTGGAATCACCTTGCCATACGTTGCCTTGTACTTTTGCTTTATTTGTTGCCTCTCATCCGATGTCCTGCTTGATAAGATTTCAATGATGGCTGCTTCATCGGTTCCTAAAGTGCAGGAGAAAGAGACAAGGCCAAGAGTGAACAAGAAAGAAGATGGAGGTTGATTTTACTCAATTCCAAGGAAGCTGGGGCATTGGTTAGAGGCTTCAGTGGAGCCTAGATGCATCCCTTAGCTTTAATATCTCGTGGAGAAGTGTGTTCTTTTCACTCACTTGACAAATATCCATGGAGGCCTCACATGGCATGAAGCACAGTGCTAGACATTGCAGTGGAAAGAGAAATGAGTATGGCCTTAATTTCACTCCCAGTATTCAAGAGAAATTAAAACAAATGGCCACACAAAACTTGCACACGAATGTTTGTTGCTTCATCATTCATAATAGCTGAAAGGTTTCTAACAACCTGAATGTCCATCAGTGAACAAACAGATGAACAAATGTGGTATATCCATACAACGGAATATTACTTGGCCAGAAAAATGAATGAAGTCCTGATACATGCTACAGTTTGGTGAACCTTGAAACATTATGCTAAGTGAAAGAATCCAGTCACAGAAGAACACATATATATATTATTCCATTCATATGAAAGTCAAGAATAGGGAAATCTATAAAGATAGAAAGGAGATTAGTGTCTGGGGATGGGCTGGGTAGGGAGGTGACAGCTAAAGAGTAGGAGGTTTCTTTTTTGAGGTGATGAAAATGTTCAAAGTTGACTGCAATGATGATTTCACATATCTGTGAGTATATTAAAAACCATTGAATTGTACATTTTAAATGGGTGAATGGTATGGGATGTGAATTTACACCTCAATAAAACTGAAAAATCTGAAAAAAAAAAAAGTATGGTCTGTTCCTTGGCCTCCAGGTACTTAAAGCTGAGTAGAAGAGAATAAAATATAGGCCCACATTGCTACAATATGAAGCCCACCCTTAAACTTGTCAATGTCAAGAGAGAAGTCCAAATTGGGACCATGATGGGTAATTGTCTCTTTAAGCTCCTGACTGTTACATTAAAATTTTTTTTATATTTATTTATTTTTGAGAGAGCATGAACAGGGGTGGGGAGAGAGGGAGAGAGAGAGAGAGAGAGAGAGAGAGAGAGAGAGAGAGAATCTGAAGCAGACTCCACGCCATCAGTACAGAGCCCCATGTAAGACTCGAACCCATGAACCACAAGATCATGACCTGAGCCGAAGTCAGACACTCAACCAACTGAGCCACCCAGGTGCTCCCTGACTCTTACATTTTTAGATTACACTCTTTCTAAAAAGTTTTTTCCTCTGATGTTCCAAAAGTACCACATGCTCATTGTAGGCAATTTGATCAGTATCAAAAAACTATAATGAATAAGAAATAAGGGGAGAATATCCTTTTTAAGAACATGGAGACAGGATTGGAAAGCTGATCCAGGGATTGCAGGTGTGGGAATGAGAAAGTCTATTTAGCCAGCAAACCCTGAATTAGATTCTTCAGGCTGGATTCAAGTAATTCTTCTACCCTTATGGACTATATGGCATTGACTGTATATACCATTGACCCTTGAATAATACAAGGATTGGGGTGCCAAGTCTCATTGAAGTACAATATTCATGTATAACTTTTGAGTCCCCCAGAACTTTAGTACTCAAGTAATAGTCTACTATTAACCAGAAGCCTTAGTGATAACATAAAGTCAATTAACACATCTTTGTATGTTTTGTGTATCATATATTATTATAGTAAACTAGAGAAAAGCAAATGTTACTGAGAAAATCATAAGGAAAATACATTTACAGTACTGTACTGTAAAATTCTGCATATAAGTGGACCTGTGTTGTTCAAGGGTCAAACTTGTTTTGTTCAAAGGTCAACTGTATATAGATATCACTGAGTCATTAAACCCATGATTTTGCTGATACTTTGTAAAGGACAGGGGTTGAATGAGTAGATTAACTCAGTAGTGCTCAGGTTGACAAAAATCATGGAAGGTGGTAGCTGAATGATTGGGGTTTGAAAGCCTGCTACAGAATGTAGACCTTTGGCAACAAAGGCACAGGGAGAGTGCCATGTGAGGACGGAGGACTGGAGAGATGCATCCATAAACCAAGGAACTCCTGAGGCCACCAGAAGCAGGGTAGAAGCCTGGAACAGGTCCTTCCTAGTGCCTTCAGGGGGGAGTATAGCCTACTGACTTCTTGACTTGAGACTCTGGCTTTCAGAACTGGGAGACAATAAATTTCTGCTGTTTTTAGCCACCTGGTATGTGGTACTTCATTATGGCAGCCCTAGGAAACTAATGTACCCATTATCCTCACCAGTGTCTCAAGACTTCAAGAAGGTCTTCACAGCCCGAGTCTGGAGAATCCTGCATTGGCCTTTTCCCAGCCCTACTCCTAAAGGCCGCTCCCTGTGACTAACTAGCATGTGCTTGGTCATTTTTGATTGGAACTGGCCTAGTTGAACTTGCGTGATCGCTCCTGCCCAGCTGAGAGCTCAGAATCCCCAAGAAACAGGAGATGGTAGATGCATTTCATAGAAGAGTTGGGAGGAAGAAAAATCTGGGTCATGGGTGTGGGGAAACTGTGGAAGGGGGACATAACTACAGACAGAGGGACGGGAACAAAGAGACTCCCCTTATTTCTTTGCTGGTGAAGGCTTGAGGTGTTCTACCCCTGCCTCGACCCTGGTATCAGTCCTAACGGCAGTATTTGGGGAGACAGGGATAAGAGAGCTGCGTGCTTGTCCTGGCACAGCCATGAACTTTGTGTCCTCAGACTATTCACTTAGTCTCAGGGATTAGTTCCACCTTTATAATTCTGGGAAGACCTAGCTGTTTGATTCCAAATGGAGAAATAGAAAATTCTAGGATGAGCTCACCTATAAGAACAGCAGTGATTAATTGCCTGCCTCGTTCTGGTTCATTTCCAGCACTGTTATTTATGTTGTTCCTCTTAATTTTTTCCTGCTGTTTCAGCTTTACAAGGGGTATCCAATTACTTCCTCTGTGACTTTTTTTTTTTTTTTTTTTTTAAACTTTTGAGTGCCAGAAATCTCACCTCAGAAGAGGTTTCTTTTTCTGGTAAAAATCTCTTGAATCGGCCCCTTTCTTTCTGTGAGGGCTGCTCCTGCCCAGATCCAGGGCCTCTGCATCTCAGGTCTGGGTTCTTACAGGTGTCATCCCTAAAAGGAGCCTTCCTGCTTCCCAGGTGGCCCATTCGCTATATTGTGCCAGCCAGAATCTGGGGCTCATCCCTGGCTCGCTCTTTCCCCTCACCCCACTCCAATTAGTTACCACTAAGACCTCACTATTCTACTTCCTTGATATCTGTCAGATCCACCCTTTTCTCTCCACCCTCACCTCTGTCACACTGCTCAGCAGAACTACTGATATCCAAATGGGGTTCCTGCATTATACACACCTTTCCAGCCGGCACGCACTGTCCCTAGAATGTGCTTGCTTATGGGCAGCTCACCTGTATCAAAGCTTGTAATAAAGGGCCCTACAAATCCAGAATAGAGTCTCAACTCTTCAGTGGGGCGTATGAGGCCTTTTAGAGTGGCTCCTACTTGCCTCTCAAAGTCATGTCCCTCCCACTCATGCTCTTTTGGGTTCTCCATAAAGCACGTGCAGCTCCTAGAACAGGCAACACTTTTCTTTCCCACCTCTGGCTCTTCCTTCTACTTGGAACACCTTTATCTTTGATCCTCACCTTCACTCCATTCCTCGTTCAGGACTCAACTCACTGGACTTTTCTGGAACGGAGGAGTCACTCCACCTTCTATGTCCCTCACATGGTCTGTCTCCGTCCCATTTCTGCCATGCCACACTGCAAGTCCCATGGGACAGAGGAGGGATTTGCTCACTGCTGTATCCACATGGAAGCCTCTCAAAATTCATCAGATGACTTGTTGAATGAATGGATATTTAAATTCATGCATATAAATGTGAATGATTGAATGAGTGGAGACGTTTGCATAGCATCATGACGGAACCTTGTCTCTGCATTCGTGTAAGCTGTGCTTGCCGCTCAGACCAATAGGAAATCTACTCTGATGCCAGAGTCAACCCACAGCAGGATAATTCAGGAAAATTGAATTAAAATTTTAAAAATAATGTTTTTTAGATTTTCCTTCCTGGAATGCATTAGAAAGTGAGACCGGAGACCAACGCCGTCCTGGGATGGCTTAGCATCACCCTGGAGGTTGGGGGGAGAGCCTGGAAATGACTAGATTTCCCTCAAACTCTTTGAATCTGGTCTCAGGTTTATGCTGGGAGCCTTTCCCACTACCCGACCAAGAAGCGATTTACTGAACAATGACCTCATTTTACATTTCACAATATGTGTGTCATATAAGCAGTCTGTGCTGCTGAATGGTTTCCTGTAAACATTTACAATGGTTTGAGACACTGGGGCCAGTCCCCAGTAGTTCTGGGAAAGACTTTTTAGAAAACAAGAAGGAACCTCTGCCCCAACTGTACATTGGACACTGCAGAGTAATTATACAGTAGAGGTCAGGCCCAGGGTGATAATTAGCCTTGGGGGTGCCAGGGCGCCTCCTCGCTTTTGCTCTCCCAGCAATTTTCTGGGAGGAGACAGAGCTGAGTTTCAGCAGGATGGAGGCCGCTGGGTGTGAAACGCCCTCCGCGTCACACCGGGGGCCCATGTGCCACGTGAGTGATCTGAGCGGTGTGCGGGCGGCGGTGGGGGTCTCTGCTTTCCCCACAGGCCCCTCATGCCAGCCCCAGGGGCCTGGCTGAGCTGCGGAGGGGGGCAGGCTGTGGGCTTCCCAGTCCCTCAGTGTCTCCTTTGAAAATGGGAGTGCAGGGAAGGCAGGGGAAGCAACCCCCCGGCCCCCCCGGCCCCACCCTGCCCGACCGGCCGCGCACTTGTCTACTGTGTTAGTTTCCTGAGGCTCCTACAATAATTACCACAAACCCTGTGACAAAACAGCAATATAGTCCCTCACAATTCGGAGGCCAAACGTGTGAAATCATGTCGGCCACACTCCCACCAGAGGCTCCGGGGTCAAATCTGTGCCTTGCCTGTTCTAACATCCGGAGGCTGCAGACAGTCCTTTGCTCAGCGTCTGGAACATTGCTCTACTCTCTGCTTCTGCTTCACGCGGCCTCTTCCTGAGTGTTTGCTTCTGCCTCTCTTGCTCTCTCTCCTTTTAAAATTTTTATTTATTTATTTAAGTAATCTCTGTACCCTGTGTGGGGCTTGAACTCAGAACCCCGAGATCAAGAGTCTCGGGCTCCACTGACTAAGCCAGCCAGGTGACCCTCTCCTGTCTCCTTTAAGGACATTAGTCAATGGATTTAGGGCCCACCCAGGTAATCCAGCCTCATCCTTTCTCAAGTCCTTAACTTAATTACATCTGCCAAGATCATTTTCTCAGTTAAGGTCACATTCACAGGTTCTGGGTGGATATATCTTTGGGGGGAGCACCATTCACCCTGGTACACTCTCAGTAATAAAGAGCAAAGGCCACTCCGGGGGTGGGGGTGCTCTTTGCTGCCCATACTGATCTAATTGGCTTTGTGGGGATTTTGGATCTGAGCTTATCCTTTAAAAGGAGCAGATTAGCGTATAATGAGGGCCAGAGTCGTGCTGAGACTGTGCTGCCTTCTGCCTCAGCACCTGTCTGCAAGGAGGCATTATTAGCCCATTCTGCAGTTGAAATGGGGCACCAGTAGGTAGCAGAGCAGGGGCTCAAACCCAGGTCCAAAGTTCATTCCCAAGCCTGGTGAGGGGAAAGGGAACTGGGCTCAGGGTTACCAGATCCCAGTTCTAGGTCTGGTTCCACTCCGGTGTGGCTTGAGAAGCATTAACCTCTGTGGCTCTCAGATGGACTAGACCTTGCTCCCAAAGCGTGGTCTCAGGATCTACAGCATCAGCATCACCTGGGAGCTTACTGGAACTGTAGGATCTCAGAAACCACTCGGAGCTACCAGTCAGAATCTGCGTGTTAACATCCTGGCGACTCAAAAGCACGTTACATTTTAGAAAGTCATGAACTAGAACCAAGGTAATCTTCATGGCAACTTTTCCTTCAGAGAGACTGTTTCTGTGCTTCTTTGAGGGAGAATGACAAGCATCCTTTTACATTTCAGAAACGATAATGGGTGTTGGGTCCATACGCTGTCAGGTTTAAGGCATTCTCTTCAGAGAATAACCTCTGAGCTTCAGCATTCTCTCTGTTAAGTTGTTCCAATACAACTTTATAGGGTTGTTGAAAGGGTTACACGAGGTGATGTGTATGCAGTGCCCAGCTTAGCACTTGGCACATAGAAGGTGCTCTACAGCAGTAATCAGCACAACAGTGGTCCCACTTCAAGCCACATCCAAAAGGGAGAAGAAAACACTGGGTGGCTTTGGCACTCAGTAGGTACTCTATGTTGAATGCACTGAGTGGCTGAAAGCACAGGGATGTATCATTAACTGCAGCTGAGTTATTCCCACACCCACTTTGCTCCTGTCTCCAACCCACATCCAGGTGTCAGGACCTCACTTGAGAGGCAGCAGGGAAGCACCTGTGAGGCTGGCTCAGCCACTCAGCAAAACTCAGAACTATAAACATCCTGCCACTTCCAGGCACACATGGCTCCCGGCAGCTGTTGTCCAAATACAACATGAGCCAGGTCAGGATATGAGCAAGAAGCAGCTTCTCTCTGCTGAGCTTTTCTCTGATGCCCCCCCAAACCAAGCAAGCTAGTTGTCATCCTTCATTTCCAGCTCCCTCTCCCTCTGATTTATTCCCAAACACTTACTATATAGAAATCCCTTTTACCACTCTCCTACAGGGTCTTCTCCAGCCCCAGCTCCCTTGGGACTTCTCCAACATTTCTTGGGCAAGACAGACTATTCTATATTCAGATAGTTCCTTATGTTGAAGCGAAATATGTCTTCTTAGAACTTAGTTCTTTCTGTGGAGTCTCAAAGAATTTATGGTCATATTTGTTCTACCACAAGTACCCATTCCTAGGAAAGTAAATCTTCACTGATTTACTTCTAAGTAAAAATCTAGCACTTGTTTTTGCAAAACAATATGCCAAGTGAAAGAAGCCAGACACAAAAGGTCACATACTGCATGATTCCCTTTAGATGAAATGTCCAGAATAGGCAAATCCATAGAGACAGAAAGTAGATTATGATTGCCTGGGCCTGAAGGGAGGGGGGAGTGGGGAGTGGATGCTAATAGAAATAGGGTTTCGTTTGGGGGCAGTGAAAATGTTCTGGAATTAATAATGATTGTTATCGATCCTGTGAATATACTAAAAGCCCAGATTTCTGGGACTAGGAAATTTTTCATCAGTGATCTCCTTGGGTCTCAGAGCCTCTCTTCATGGTCTTATTCCTAGATGCTCTTCCCTTCATCTTACCTTGTTACTGGGGTTACCTTATTCCCGATCTCTTTCTCAGTCTCCTATTCTTGGCTATGCACTTACCTGACGCATTGATGTAAATAGTTTCCCTGGCCTTGACCCTTGATTCTTGACCTCGGCCACTGTTTTATGTTTACTCGATCTACTTCTAGATGCCATTCCAGATCCCTAATCCAGCTTTCATCAGACCTAATTCCCTACCACCTCTCATGAGAGGGACCAGAGAGACTTGGATGACATTAGGATTGCATGACTACACTTCTCATGAAGTTTCTTCCACCTTAAGGTCAGATGCAATGTCACAGTATCCAGTTTTTAACTATCCTATTGGACCTTGAAAAGCATTAGGATCTGATTATAGTTTGGGTATCTTTTACAAAGAGAACCCTAGAGGTAATTAACTTGGGTTAGTTCGGAATGTACAAGATCAGTGGGAGGTCATCTTCCTAAGATCATGGGAAAGTTGGACAAGAGATCAAATATAATCAACTTCAAAAGTAAATTTAAAAACAAAATAGATTCCATACCCATTCCTTTGCAGGCTTCGTTCAGCATTTTGGCATCCTGATCCACATCAAAACCTTGATGACTTCTCGCTTTGGCCTGGAGAAAATAATTGAAAAGGTGAGTGGACAATATGGGCATTCTTGAATTCTCTCTGGCTGATGTTGGCAGCTATTTAGAAGATGAAGAAGTCATCCAAATGAGGGACCAGCTGCCACTTTATACATAGGTACATGCGGAAATCAGCTTGGGAAACTCCGGCCCCAGAGAGACGACTGGTACTCCTTGGAGCCGGCTGGCCTTGGATGACCACTGAGAATGGGCCTCTCTGTTCATAAGGACAATCAGCCTGGCCATCTCTGGGTTGAGACATTTTGACATCAAGCCTACCTTTGTGTGACTGCCTCTGAAACAGAGAATAATACAGTGGGCCAATGTCCTGGAATGCTGGTTCTACCCTCTTGTCATGAGACACAAGTGTGTCTAGGGAGTAAGTGTTGCCAGGCAGAAGCTGAGGGTTCTAAGATTTTATGACAGATCCATCCATTTGGTGACCTGGGCTAAAGCTTTGCCATCCACACAACGAGAGACATAACATTTAGTTTGCCAGAGACCTACCGACCAGAAGTAGCAGGGTTACTGGTTTTTACTGTTCCTCGGGGAGAGAAAGTTCTGTTCGTATACTAAGTTAGGGTTTCTCCTTTTACTTCAGTCATTGGTATAATACATGCACTAATTTGTCCACAGCTACCTAAGTCTATGTTATTATTATCTGCTTACAATTTTTCTTTCAGCTGACTTAGCTGGGTTTTACTTAAAGTTATTTTTAAAAGGAAATTTTCTATTAGGACTAAAATGGAAAAACAATATTGGTTGCCTAAACAAAAGCAACATAAAAATAAATGCATCACTATTAAAAATTTAAAGATGTGAGGTTAATTGCAGTGACACAACTATTAGCTTTGAACCTACCCTGCGTTTTTGCAATTCTTTGCCTTTCCTCACAGAGATTATCTTTGACGACACGTGTCACTTACTTCCCACCCTTCAATGAAGGAGTGATCATGCTGCTGTCTACACCACCTACCCAATTCCCCTCTCCCGCCTTTCGTTTTCCTTGGCCCCCATTGGGAAGGCATAATAAACCACATAAAGCACAGTAGACATATTGCACTTATTTGTCTGGCATTGCTATTCCTTTGGTGGGGGGCTTCCCTTTCCCCCATTTTATGTGTTTTCATGGGGGCTGTCAGTCATGAGGCTTGAGCCCCCTTGTCCCACCCTTGGGTGGGCACAAACCCTGCTACTCTGGCAACTGTGACTGGTTCAGGAGTAGGAGTATAATCCAAGCAGTATCAGAGTCTTGTCTTTGGTTGGTATTGAGATAGAGAAAGAGATGTCTTCTGACTGGGCTTGTTCAGCTGAAAGAGTGAGTCTAGGCCTGCTGGTTGCCATTTTATCCTCTGCATGAAGGGACATGAGTTCAGAGTGAAGCAAGGCAGAGACAAAAAGAGTGGAAATATGGAGAGAGAAAGAGAGGCTGAATACCACTGTATAAATCCTCGGACGCAGCAATGCCTGTTTCCTAGCTCTTCCCATTTTCATTAATAAACTACGACTTTCTCGAAGTTGGTAAGTTGGGTTTCTGCCCTTGCAACCAAAAGTGTTCTGAGTAATATCCACAGAATAGAGGAGGGCTGACTTCTGGGCCTTTCTTAATAGAGATTCATGTAATCCTAGAGCCAAAGGGATCTTCTAGGGCCGCCAGTCATCTCTCTGCCTTATGGGATCCCTCCATTACACAGCCCATCTTGAAGTATCTCTTTCTGAAGCATGCTGGGAAGGGGTTACATCTCTTGAGCACCTGCCACATGCCAGACAATTTCTTCGTTTACAGACCTTTCTTCATTATTAACCCAGAAGAGTAGCCATTAGGAGTCTAAACTTACAGAGAAGGACATCAGGCAGGTTAAGTAAGGAAGGTGTCTGAACACTTGCGGATACAGGCAAGCCCAGCATGGTTTGCCTCCTAAAGCCCATGCTCTCAGTCCCATGCACCATCCTGCCTCGTGCTCTAAGTAGGATGGGGGCCTTTATGTTCAGCATTTTTTTCTTTCCAAATCTCTTGTGTGGTGTGAGAAAGCTATCTGGTGCCGCTGAAGGCTTGCTGGCAGGACCATCGACAGAATTTTCAGGGCTCGATGCAAAATAAAAATGTAGGGGCCTTGTTCCAAATGGATTTAGAAGTTCAAGATGGTGACATCAGAGCGTTAAAGCAAGCTCGAGGCCTTTCTGAGTGCTGGGTCTGTGCACCTGCACAGGCTGACACTATGGAGCCCGTCCTGCCTGTTGATCAAGTTCTCTGGGTGTGGGAGAGTGGCAAATGGCAATCTCAGAAGAGTGAATGGTGTCTTTGCTTTTCATTAGAAGGATTTTGTGGAAGGTTCGGGGAGTGAGGTGCCATTGGACCAGAGCAACACACATCTCCTCTTAATAAGCTGTTCATAAACCGTTCTGATGTCATTTGAGCCTCATCAGGGCAAAGAATCTGGTGGGACACTTATATTTGCCCCACCTCACATAAATTGAAACAGAGGCACAGGGCTCTGTGAATAGCTAGGGAGGTTGTGCCCTGGCTGAGGGGCAGGGGGGCTGGAGTCCAGCTGGGATTACATTTGCTAAGCCAGCAGGGCTGCTTCTCCCCCAGAGAGACACATTTTTTCCTCAGTTGCACAGAGATGCAGCCAGGACTTGCAGAAGCCCTGTGGAGACTTGCTTAAGATCCCCTGGCCAGGTGATGGCTGCGGGGGAGCCAGGGGTAGACTCGTTCTGTCAAGTATGAAGAGACACTTCCGTCCTTCGTCCCCTTACTATTTTAGTGAGGTGGGTCCTTGATACAAAAATAGAGTTAAAGGAGCCAAAAATAAAGGGGGGGGGGAACCCTCTGAACATATCTAGTTTATCCAAGGCCAAAAGATGAAGTGTCATTTAGTCCCCAAATAACAGTGATATCGGGGGGGTGGGGGGTGGGGTGGGGGTGGGGAGGGCAGTAGGAACAAAGATGACGTGGAGACAACTTTTTCTTTTTTGCTTAACTGAACATGCAGTATTGAGCTAGTGAGACCCTGTTGGACTTCCAACCTATAGAACTATAAGGCAATACGTTTATGTCATCTTTAAAAAATTCAGTGTACAAGTCTGCATCCGACACACTTCAATCTGCCATCAAGGCAGGTGGAAGTTAGGAGTTCCCAGGTTCCTTCTAAGGACCACTCTTAGCCATGTTGGTTATCTTTCCTAATCCAAAGAGTCTTGTTCCTCATAACAGCAGGCTATTCGATGTCAGAATAAAGAGATCACATGATGGGACTTATTGAAAGGCAGGGAGGGAGGCAAGAAAATAGGCTGTTAGGAATTTCCCCCTCTGCGTGGCTGGGACTGCCTCCACAAAGGACATATTATTCATCAGTGCCACCCAGTGTTGATGCAAGGGGTGTCCTTGGCTTGTTCTAATGAGCTGGGTAACCATCTTCTCTGGAATGTATACGGAGCGGACATTCCACCGTTCATTGTTCATTGTTAGAGATCCAGGCAGCTGACTTTGGGACCTCAGGCCCATTTGCCCATCAGATTTCATTTTTGAAACCTGAAGCCATGGAGCAGAACTTCCACATAAAGCAGGTCTGCAGGAATATGAGCCAGGCGCAAAGTGGGGGTACAGGGGACTCCAGTATGAGGACAGATAGGACTGTGATGATTTGAGCAAATACACAATGTTCCACTTGCTTTCAACTTTAAGCAAAATAGAGGCAGAACAACATTCCTTTTTTGTTTTCTTTTGATTTGTTGTTTAACAGCATTTACACTGACACTCAAGGGACACATTAAAAAGACAAGATGTCAGATGTTAATAAAAATGATTATAGAAGTCTGGGCTTTGAGCCCACATGAATCCAAGTTTGAATGTGGTTCTATCCCTTAGCAGCCATGTGAACTTGAGCCAATAACCTCTAAGTGATCATTTCCTCACCTGTGAAATGGGGCAATGTCTGCCTTGTAAGATTTGAGGCTTATGCGAGATAACATTTCAAAGGCCAGATAGATAAGGAGCCACAGAACTGCTAATTTTTCCCTCTGCTTCTTTGGGCCATCTCTTGTGGTTTTTTTTGCCTTACAGTGAGGTTAGGTTTTCAATTCTGCATATTTCCACTTGACAAGTTTGAAAGATTTACATCTATCTATCTATCTACCTATCTATCTATCTATCTATCTATATCTGAGAGATGTCTTCCAAACTTGAAATTGTAAGATGTAGATCTATCTCCAGTGCTCCAAACTGTATTTGAATCCCAGAATAATTGCTATTACTCATGTGACCTTCGGCAAGTTTGGGAGCCCCTCTGTGCTGTGGTTTTGTCATGGCAAAATGTGGCCAACAATAGTGTCCACTCATAGGTCTCTTACGAGAATTTAAATGAAGTCATTCATACCAAACATCTAAATGAAGCCTAGCAGAGAGCATGTGCTTAAAAAAATGTAAAGGATTAATAATGGAAGGCAGATCAGCAAAGAACCTTCTAGAATATTTGAAACCGTCTCCTGCTCACAGGGTTTCTACCTTGTAAATGGCACTCTAAGGATCGGTTTTTCATTGATCACCTGCAGTTTGGATCTAAAGCTCCAGACACATATTTCACACCAGGCAGTGAAGTGGTCCACAATTCAGGCTGCACGGAGTCAGGTGACCTGGGATGGCACCCAACACCACATTTTGTTAACTGCCTCATTTGGTTAGTGTGATAATTGGCACCTCATGGAGTGTGAGGATCTCACTGAGATACAGCCCGGGTGGGTCACTTGCCAATGTACCAGTCAGGCTCACAATAGGAGCGAATACCACGAACTCTACAAGAGGCACTGCCTGGTGCAAAAATGAGCTGGGGACTTTCAGTCTTGTTTTTGCTTCCTTCCTTCCTTCCTTCCTTCCAGCATGTCTACATGTCACTTCTCTGTGTCTCCATATTCCTGCATCTTAAACAAGGAAATGAATGATCCGTTTTTCTGGAAGGAGGAGTTATACAAAATGAACTGAGATGCTATGAGCCTGGAAGCAGAATGAA